TTTCCACAACCAACATCAGGTTGTTCAAAAGAGCATTTGTTAGAAATTCATTATTCCGATATGACAATTATGAAACTTAATTGTTCCAAGTGTGTTAGGACATTTCAATGCAGCAAGGAGCAATATAAATGCAATTGTAGAATATATTTAAGTGACAACCATAAGGACTCAACACCAAATGTGACTGCAGTAATAGAAATACTTTGAATTCTCACCAGATCGTGTTATTCCACTATCTCTGTCTTCATTGATCCCTCTACTGGGCATGTCCATTGGGGTGCTGTGAACTATAAACATGAAAACAGAGTAAGAATTTACTTCCTTAACATTTTAATATCATGATGTGTTTACCAATTTTCGTAAAAGGACAAACCATTAACGATATCATACGGTGCAGAGCAGCATACATGCAAGAATCACTACAATGAATCATGTGTGCGAGCATGCAATTTAATCAGCCAACAAAACAACAGAACCTCCAAAATTGTGAAACACCACCACAATCACATTGAACTAAATCAAGACCAATTACACTGTTGATTTGAGATGACAGAGTTCATGATTTAAACTGGACTCCAATGTGATTTGGCAAATTATGAAACTAATTTTGCTTTAGGTTACAAGCATTTTGTAAAAGTTTTACTATAAAAGATTATTCAGTAGTGACATTGTGCTAACTCCAAGCCTCCTCCTCAGCTAGATGCCCTATTTTAATTAGCAAATTAAGGCTCCCATTGCAGAAGAGAGTTCTGAATGATTAATCTCCTGACAAATAATTGAAACAAAAATTAACTTGCATTTTCTACTTATTCGTTGAAGCTAAAAAAGACATCTACACTGTCCTTCCGTTACCCCACAACAGGCAAACTAATGTGTGCCTCAGACACCATCACAGAAAACAACATGAATATAATTTCACGTACAGCACTTGAATAATCTGCATCGTACACATCAGCAAAAGAATGTGGTACGAAGCTATCCCCAACTCCAAACAAATTGATTTGCTGCAAATCCATCATCTTGTGCAAATGAAAAAATGCCATTGACCTACAGCCACACAACACACTGAACAGCTATTGGTGGCAAGCTCTTGGGAAATATTCATTCAAGACAATCTGTGATATATGTACATCCAGTAAGTTAATTTTATGTTTGAAAGAGCCACCAGACACACAGAGTGATGTAAAGTCCTTCAAGTATGCTTTTAGCATCCAAATTGATGCTCGCATGTGCACAAAAAAAAAGTTTTCTTTCATAGAACATAGAACAGTACAGCAAGCATTGTGACATCAAATAAATCTGTGCTTCTAGTGTAGATAGAAACATGGTTTATATCAGACTTTGGACATGTCACCAAAGGAATGTATTGACTGGAGATGAAATACTTGCAACTGGGGCTGGGAAGGGAGAGAAATTCCCAAGAGTGAGTTACCCTGAATATCCTCAAAGGAATTCCAAAAGGCATGGGTAAATCACGTGAACACATTGCTTGTATGGCATCAGCAACAGATCACAGAATGCCATCCAAAAGGAGAAGATAAAGAACAAATTGAATAGCTTTAGAAAGAACGTTTCATTCTGGTTATATTTTATAATGGTATTTTTAAATAGGTAGACTACATATCAATTTGAAGTTGAACCCTGGTTAATCAGGTTTCAAAATCTTACATCGAAGGCATTTCTTTCTTTTATTTGCCTCTTATTATTCCAACAGAGCAAAGTGCCTAAGATTTCTTACTACACTGCTTGAAACCAGCCACAGAAAGAACATCCTTAATACTTGCTAATTATCCTGAAGATTCTAGCCTAAATGGCACAACTTATCATTCTGGACATCAAAAGTAGTTCTATGGCTGGAGACAGCACTGCGCACTGCAGCACTAATATCCATGGTAGTGAAGTAAAAGATTCTCTTCAGCATTAAAAACAGAGCTGCAAATCTTATCAAATGCACTCAATAGCAGCAACAAAAGCAGCCTGTCCATGAAGTAAGTGTTTTCTTTTTCTACAGCTGTAGAGAATGATGCAGTTGTATGTAAGTGCACAATCTTCTGTCCAATATCTTTTCTATTGCTGTCATTTGTTATCCTACTTTCTTCTCTTGCATTCCCAACAGTGTATGGCTCCATGGGAAGCTTCTTCACTCTTCATAAAACAGTTTACGTTAGCAGATTATCCCATCATGAAGAACAAAATTCTTCAGTTATCTACTGCTGTTCATAGTGACTCCTATCAGGAGATCTGCTGTCATGGTAAGCACACTTGTCGGTTTTGTACAATCCCGAGATTCTCCATCGCTCATCTACAATATCTGAAATCCAACTATACCTATACCCTTCTTTCTGCTGCCTTTGAGAAGGGATCTCGGTGATATTTCAACATTGACCAAACAGCCCGAATGCCGACATTTTCATTTTAAAATGTTCTTTTTGCTCTTACAATTTCAGGTGTCTCTTCATTTGCCTTATGGACTGTAGAAGAATTTTTAACATACGTCATAGCACCCACATTTCAAAGCCCTCTAAAGATCTATAGAACAAAATACGTATTTATCCAGGATTCAGAGGCATACAGAAAAATGAATAGAATCTTGAGCTTTTTCCTTCATACAAACTTCAGTTTTCGTGTTGTTGACTCATACTTCATCTTCATAGCATTCTTTTCTAGGCAGAAAAGTTCTACAATCCCACTCACTATGATTGCTCCTTATGCTCATTTCTACTTCTATTGGACGACAGTCCAGCTCCCACAGATGTCTGGAACTGATTAATAGATTACAATTTCTGCCACTTCCTTTGACAGCTTAACCTGAAAAAGGTTGAATTCAAAATGCATTTGGGTTGAGGCTTACTACTCAGGGTTCCACTTGCTAGTCTGCCATTATTCAACATTTCTCTAGAGAAGTGCCAACCTCAAGAAAAAAACTCATTACACTTGGGTACGACCAGACAACGCAATATTCCAAAAATTACCCCAGTCGACCAAAAGAAATCTCATAAGTGATTTGATGCTTGGAGATCTGGTAAATTGAAGATTATCAAAATGCTTTAATTTTTGAATAATATTTATATTCAAGTCTGCATCATTTTTAAACACTTAATTTTAACAAGGAAGAATAACCAGTACATGCAATGATTTTCAGTTGGTGCCTTAAAATTATTGACATAACGTATTCCAGGTCTGTGGAAATGAGGTTTACATAAAGCCCACCAAATCACAAAACCAATTAAGGAGGGTTTCTATAGTCTCTGATGGTGCCACATTAGACTTCCAAACAACAGAACATCACAAACCTGAAATCTGTCACTCGTCAATTAGTAATCGGTTCTCAGCTGCTTTATACAATGGCGAGTACTTAGTTGTCAACTATAGGAGTTAGGAAGAGAGTTTGGTTGTAATGTAGAATCAAAGCATTGTAATGTACTTTTGTATTCAGGTTAACTTCTGTTGGTGGGTGTTAGCTTTGGAATGCGGGCAAATGGGACTGGATCAGTTTTGGAAACCTGGTTTCTGTGCTATGTGACTCTATACAGTTCCTTTTCAGTCATTACTCGTGACTGTACCAATTGCATGTGCAAGTTCATTTGTCTTCCACTTACATTGCACACTTCGTATAGACTTTTTTGATAATTTCTCACTGTAACTTCTCCAGTACATTGATATTGCTTTGTTTAAAATTAGTTATAACTTAGTAAATCTGTTTTCAAGAATAAAATAGCCATTCCAAATGCAAGAGCCACAGTCAGACCTATCAGCACGAGACCTTCGAAACCCTCATTTTAAAGCAACTATCCCAATCAGCAGCACTTTAAGATGCAGTAAGATGTGTCTGGTAATTAGGAATTCACACTAAATAAGTAAAATCTGACATAATGAGTCAAGCATGCCTCCTATCCTGAAACAATGGACATCAAGGTGGTGACCATGCACTGTATATTCCTCACCTAGCCAATCAGAATGTTCCATGCAATGTGCGATGAGTGTGTTTGGGGATCCTAGTGGTCAGGTTGTGGTTGTGATTTGGAAAGAGTTAATAGGACCACCATTCAGTGGTACAGTGTGCAGAAAGCAGAAATGAGGCAGAAGACGACTTCTGAAAGGGACGGCACCTCACCCAACCAAGCAGTGATATTTCATTGAGACTGCTGCCTTGTTCGGTGTCACTTCTGTCATACTTGTTCTGATAACCTAATCTCTAATTCGAACACACTGATAAGCAGAGAGATGTTGTACTCAGTTTGACTCTGAGTCTTACAATTCTTGTTAAACTGGATTCAGAACTCTATAGAATTGCACTGAAAGGAAAGATAAGGAGCAACAAAAGTAATGAGGCCTCCCCCATCATATTACATTTCAGGTTATATCAACTTGGTGACATCAACTGGGTGTACAACTAACATCGAAGAAGAATGCAGTATGATACAACGGGACGTTGGAAAACTTGCAGACTGGAGAGTTTAGTGGCAAATAAAATTTAACATGGATACATGAGAGGTCATAAAAGCAGAAATATTATTAACATTTTCAAAATTAAGAAATTGAATGGGCTAAAAGACTAAGGAAGAGAGGGAATAAAGGCGATCAAATCATTAAAAGCAGCATTGTAGGTTAACAAAATTAAAATGATAAGAGAGCTGGTATTTATTTTTACGAATATGAAATTTAAAAGCAGTGGAAATATACTAAACTTTTATAGGAACTGGCCAGCTATAGTTCTGGTCTCCAAACAAAGAACAGCGCCAGAACATGTTTAGCTACTGGGATAGATTGAACATTTTGAAGAGATTTTGTTGAAAAAATAGTACTTTGAGACAACCTGAAAGAGGTTTTTATAATTATGGACATGTTAGATACAGAGATGTGGGGAAAATGTTCTGCTTCTCCAAAGGGCAGTAAGATAGTCATTAATAAATCCAACAGGGGGATAAGGGGACATTTCTTACTCTGTGCTGCTGACACAAAGATAGTTTCCTCCCTAAGTGGTGAAAAGGACATAAACAGGCATCAAAAATATAGCTAGGTTAAACGAGTGGGCAAAAGATTTGACAAACGGAGTATAATTTTGGAAATATGAATTTGCCCATTTTGCAGCAAGAACAGAAAACATATCTAACTAGCAAGAATTTGCAGAGCTCTAAGATGCAGAATGATCTGGTGGCCTGCACCATGAAACACAAAAAGTCAGTGTGCACATACAGCAAAAAATTAGGAAAGCTAATACAATGTTATCTTTTACTGCAAGGGCAATTAGATACAAATATGGGAAGATTATGTTTCAGCTAAACAGGACATTGGTGAGGCCATATCTCAACAGTATGTACTGTATTGGTCTCATTGCTTAAGGAAGGACATAAATGCATTGGAAGCAGCTCAGAGAAGGTTTACTTGATAATATATAGAATGGGCAGGTTGGCTTATAAGGAAAGGCTTGGAATTTAGAAGGATAAGAGGAAACATGATTTAAGCATGATGGATATTGACAGAACACATGTGGAAAAGAGCTTTCCTCTTGTGAGAGAATCTAAAGCGGGGAGTACTGGTTACAAATAACAGGGTCACTCATTTATGGCATAGATGAGGAGAATATTCCTGTGTCAGAGGGTGGTTGGAAGTCTTTGGAACACTCTTCCTCACATAGTGGTGGATGCAGAGCCCTTGAACATTTTTAAGGCAGAGGTAGACAGATTCTTGATTAACAAAGGGATAAAAGATTGACCAGCAAAAATGCAGGAATGTAGATTTGAGGTCAAAATTGGATTGGCCATGAGCTAATTGAGTGCAGGATGTCAGAAGTCACACGACACCAGATTATAGTCCAACAGGTTTATTTGAAATCACACAAGCTTTTGGAGCACAGCCCCTTCGTCGGGTGCAGTGAGAGGACAGCACAGAGACACTGAGTTTATACTCAGAGATCAACAGATCATACAACTGATGTGAGTCGAGTGTCAGATAACAGGTCTCTGCAGATGACCAAAAGTGTTAGACAGTGAGTAAAGTGTTTATAAAGTCAATGTCAGTGCTGTGATATCATGACAATCAGACAGAGCTATAGGAATATACAAAAAGTGACATCTCCGGTCAGCCACTGAATTGTAGGTGTGTGGCTTTGTTCAGAATCTGTCTCAGAGTTTTAACCTGGAATCAGGCTGGTTTTATTCCAAAAGCAGGAATTTATAAGATGCCACACTGACTGACTGTGACTACAATTTATATGTGTTTTTTTTGAACAAAATAGAATGTATCTGCAAATAAATAAGCATCTTGGACGAAATGATTTACCCCATAGATTTATATGTGTGTGCGCGTGCAAGAGAGTGTAATAAGTAATTCAAAACTGTACCAACGAATTAAGGTAGAGAGATCATAACGATTTATGAAGTTGATGTTGTCAAACCAGGAAAGTACAGAAGATTTTACAGATACAAGTGTGGTGGGGGTCACCTGTAGTGTGACACAAACCCAAGATCACGGTTGAGGCCATCTTCATGGGTACAGAACTTGGCTATCAGTCTCTACTCGGTGATTCTGCGTTGTTGTGTATCTCGTATTCTGCCTTGGAGGACACTTACCCGAAGGTCGGAGGCTGAATGTCCTTGTCCGCTGAAGTGTTCCCCAACTGGGAGGGAACATTCCTGTCTGGCGATTGCTGCGCAGTGTCCATTCATCTGTTGCCATAAGCGTCTGCATGGTCTCGCCAACGTACCATGCCTTGGGACATCCTTGCCTGCAGCATATGAGAGAGACAACATTGGTCGAGTCACATGAGTATCTGCCGCATACATGGTGGGTGGTGTTCCCATGTGTGATAGTAGTGTCCATGTTGATGATCTGACATGTCTTGCACAGGTTGCCAATCACAGGTTGTACAGTGTTGTGGTCGATGCTGTCCTGAAGGCTGGGTAGTTTGCTATGAACAATGGTTTGTCTAAGGTTGGCAGTTGTTTGAAGGTGAGAAGTAGAGGCATGGGGAAGATCTTGGCGAGACACATTGAAAGCTGTGAAGAACATGGCGTAGTTTCTCTGCTCTGGGGAAGTAATGGATGATGAAGGGTACTCCATCGGTCATATCCCATGTCTGTCTTCTGAGGAGTTTGTTGTGGTTTTTCACTGTGGCACGTTGGAACTAGCAATCGATGAGTTGAGCATCATATCCTGTTCTTATAAGGGAGTCTTTCAAAACCTTCAGGTGTCCATCACGTTCCTCCTCATCTGAGCAAATCCTGTGTATGCTTAGGGCTTGTCTGTAGGGGATGGCTGTTGTAATATGTTTCGGGTGGAAGCTAGAGAAATGCAGCATCACGAGATTATCCGTGGGTTCGTGGTAGAGCGAGGTACTGAGATGTCTGTGCACGCGCACACTCTCTCTCATTCTCGCTCTCAAACACACATATAAATCTATGGGGTAAATCATTTCATCCAAGATGTTTGTTTATTTGTAGATACATTCTATTTTGTTCAAAAAAAATACACAATTTGTAATCACAGTCAGTGTGGCATCTTATAAATTCCTGCTTTTGGAATAAAACCAGCCCGATTCCAGATTAAAACTCTGAGCCAGATTCTGAACAAGGCCTCACACCTATAGTTCAGTGGCTGACCAGAGATGTCACTTTCTGTATATTCCTATCGCTCTGCCTGATTGTCATGATAGCACAGCACGGACATTGACTTTATAAACACTTTACTCACCATCTAACACTCTTGGTCACCTGCAGAAACCTATTATCTGACACTCAACTCACACCAGTTGTATGATCTTTTGATTTCTCTGCTATAAACTCTGTGTCTGTGTGTTGTCCTCTGTCACTGCACCTGACAAAGCAGCTGCGCTCTGAAAACTTGAGAGATTTCAAAAATACCTGGTGGACTATAACCTGCGACTTCCGAGTTTGTCCACCCCAGTCCAACACCGGCACCTCCATATTATCGAGTGGAGGTCCTTGTTTGTAGGGGCAAGGGATCTACTCTTGTATGTATGTGAAGGGAATGCAAGACAAAGTGAGAAGGGGAGACAGAGGAGGCTCAGAGATGTAGAAAGAGGGAACGAGACAGACAGACAGACAGACAAACACACACACACACACAAAACTAAACTACTTTTCTTGAGTGTGTAATGAACGTAGCACCATGGTATCTAAAAGGTGATTAATACGACTTACTAAAATCACCTTTTAGGGACAACGGATCAATTGCCTTTTGTTTTAAGTGTTTAGATTTTCAGTAAGAATCTCATTTCCACAGCTGTAAATAGAATGCATGCCCAGCTAATGCAGACCGACACACTGTCCAGAACCCAGAGGCACTATGCAAACCTGCAAAGAAAGAAGCGCTCCGGATTAGGCGGAGCGGTGCTGGCTCAGAAACACCTGGTGCCCGCCTAGGGCTGCAAAGCTGCGAAAAACCTACAGAGCAAAATTGTAACAAAAATAGAAAACAAAAACAGAAAAATGGGATTAGTAAAGCCATCAAAGCAAGAAGTTAGAATACCACATGGACTGCCATTTCAGACTAAAAACAAAAACAGAGTTAAAAAATACATCAGAATAGCATAATCTTTCGGACAAAATTTACTTTTATACATACACTTGCCCCTCCCTTTAAGTGCTGGTTTGGAGACAAAACAAAAGGCTAAAACAAATGAAAATTACTTTTACATTTGTAACAGAGAAAAAGACAAGATATAAACTTACAGTTCAAATAAAAACAAATCTCTTTTGAAGGCTCTCTTAAATACACTGACTAAAAGCAAATAAAGAGAAAAATGCAAATATTTCATGATGAAATCTGAAGCAAAGGATTCAAGGAAAGTCTGACTTGTGGATTTTGGGGATTGTATTCATTGAACAAAGTTTAAAACAAAAATCCCTCCTGCCTATCTGCCCTAGTAGTTTCAATTTAAGTTGTCAGGTTTAACTGGAAACCATATTCTCCTTCCTCCTCCCCATCTGCTTGGGATTAAAACACAACCATAAAAGATCAGGTGGATTAAACCAGAAATCTGTGCAGTTAATTAAATGTTGTGCATAAAACCAACGATGTTTCTCTCAATATTCTGTATTATTCACAGCTTAAAATATTCAATCCTTTCATAGTATTTATACTCTCCCAGTAAATAAACAGTAACAAAATTTGGAGGGAAAAGATAGAAACAGGACAACAGGCCAAAACAATATTTAAATTACGGCTATGTGCATCATTGTATGCCTGTGGATATTGTGCTTTTACTTTTTCATCCCTCCGCCACCTCATAAATAGAATGCATGAGGACGTGCACTACTGATTGTATTTATCGAATCGTGTCTGTCTGCTTCTTTAAACGTCCGATTAAAATAGTACTAATTTTCACTTCATATTGAATTTAAAAGTTGTGCCATAAAACCCTACAGAACCAATGCATATCATTACACATCATCACTGACATAAGTTCATGTTTTCAACCTTACACGCAAAAATGGTTCTTAACTGTAGCCACGGCAACATAAGACTTAGAGAAGCAAGGCAAGCCATCCAAGATTAAGAAAGATCATGGCTGATCTAATTATGGTCTTAACTCCCCCGTTTCTGTCTGCTGTCCCAATACCTTGAACTCCCTTGTCTAATAAACATCTATTTAAACCTGCCTTGAATAAATGCAATGACCTAGTCTCCAGTCCTTTCTGGGGAACAGAACTGTACAGACTAAATGACCCTTTGGAAAATAATTTGATCTTAAAAAGGGAGACTTCTTATTTTAGTTCCAGTCTCCCCACAAAGGAAACATCCTTCTGGGATCCATCTTGTCAAGTGCTCTCAGGATCTTGTATTTTCCATTAAGATTGTCTTTTATTCTTCTAAACTTCACTGGGTATAGTCCCAAGCTGTTCAATCTTTATTCAGAAAATAATTAGCTCATCCTTGGAATGCATTAAAAGAATCTTCTGAGCTGCTTCCAACATAATTGTTTGCCATTTTCAAATAAGGAGACTAAAACTGTACACAGTACCAGAGACACGGTCTCACCAGCATCCTGTATAACTGTAGTAGAATTTCTTGACTTGTATATTCCATTCTGCTTGTGCTGACATTCCATTTGCCATCTTAATCACTTTTTGCATCTTCTAACATGTGACTCACATACCAGGACACCAGGTCTCTCTGTGCCAGAGTTATACAATCGCTCACCATTTAAATAGTGCACTGATTTCATGTTCTTCGTGTCAAAAGTGGACAAGTTCACATTTTCCCATATTATTCTCAACCTGTTAACTTTTCGGCCACTCTCTTAAGCTCTCTATATCCCTCTGCACACTCTCTACCTTGTCTTGACAGCTTACTTCCCTACTTATTTTGGGGATCACTGGTGCCATTTTAACATGGAAAAGATTGATCAAAGAGACATTCAGCCTTAGGCTGTTGACACCCATGCACCAAGTGTAGGCTCAGAGTGACATACAAACAACCAGAGAATATAATTTATCCACCACAGTAACCACGACCCTGATAGAAAAAAATTGGCTCTTTTAAATTTGAAGGATAAAATTTAGGTGACCAGATGCTTTACACAGAATCACAGAAATTCCTAGCACAAAAATATGTCATTCAATTCATCTTGTCTGTATGTTGAGATTTAACCAGCTAAGGTTAAGATGCTTTAAGATTTAACCAGCTAAAGCTGTGAAGTTAACCAGAATAAAGTACAGGTAAGCTAGGACTACATTCCAAGAGAAGCAGCAAGATCCCTATCAACAGGACACTGCTTATCTGAGTGGGAAGAACTGTAATCATCAGTGACAGGCCCACTTCACAAAATTCTATCAACAAGTCAGATTGACCAGCCAATCATCACTCCCTTGGTACACTAAAGACCTGGTTCAGGTATCAGGCTGAACTGGATCCATACCATTACAAGGAGTGTCATTTTAGATCAAATGACCTCAAAACTGCGACACTCTCAGCAGACTGTAATAATTACCAGCAATTTAACAATAGAAAAGTTTCAAGGTTCAACAGTTATTGGGAACTTTCAAGGAGTGGATTAGTGAACAGAATCTAAAAAGTGATCACAGATAACCCACTAAATAGTTGTTCCGTCAGATGGAAGGGCTGACAGTTAGTCTGAAAATGATGATGGAAACAGTGCCCTTGCAAATATACCAAAGTAAAAGGCACCGTCGAATAATTCAGCTTCAAAATTTTCTCAGATATGTGACACCTGCCAACACATTGTATGTTGGCCTGTGTAAATCCAATGTGTCAAACAACCTACAGTTTCGGATATCAAGTCCAGTGTTGTATGGTCTTGTTGGCTGCTAACTGCCTAGTTTAAGTCCTGAAATAAAGCAAATTATTTCTGTCTTGTCTACAAGACATTTTCCTTTGAGGGAGAGTCAATCTGAAGTGTGAAAATTCAAGTACTTCAAAACCAAGTCTTAGTGGAACTTACCTATAAGGCTGTTCATCAAAATATTTTGATCTGGGTAAGGTTTTGATGTAGTAGTGTCCTGATTAATACATTCGAGACTGTCTTGTAACCTTAATGAACAATTAAAAAAGCACACATAAATGTTCAACATCTAGACATATCTCATCAACAGTCACAAGATAAAGCACAAAATAAGCTGAGTCATTAAAGTTACTCATTCTATTGTTTCATTTCTTCACCTAAAATGACTATTAAGGAAACACCAAGAAACTTAAATGGCACTGTATTGCTCCTATTTTTCTTCATTTATGCTTCAATGTGGGAGGAAGCAATCTGGGTGTAACTCTCTCTGTAACATCATATGGTGCTGTATACTGTGCACTATCGTGCAACATATGGAATCAAAGATTTCTACACATTTGCACTACCAAACGGCTCAAAACAAGAAACATGAGATTATTAATGAGCATCTTTGAAAGTTATAAATGATGACCTCTGCATTATTATCTTCCTCACCATTTGAGTGTGCAGGAGACTCTTGGAGAAAATTGAGTTGGGCTAGCACCCTGATGTTTTCCTATCTCTAGGTTCTTTGTCAAGGGGCATGCTGCACACCCAGATGACACCCTGCCCAGCAGTGGCAGGAAGCCAATTAAAACTATGGCATTACAGATTAGCCAGCATTTCGCACCCCCCCAAGGCCCTGCCATTTTGTTTTGTAAAGAGAAAGGTCTGCAGCTCATCTGCAGCAAGAACAGTGCAGGATATCAGAATGACAAAGTGATCAAGTGATCCTAAAAGCAGCATAAAAGATTACTTTCAGCACATTTATTGAAGTGAAAGGTGCCTCCCTGCAGACAGGTCCACCCAATATTTCTGGGTGCTGCGATTTGCCTGGTGGTTCCAGCATTGGTAGTGTTCCTCCATCCTGTGGCATCCTCCCTAAGCAACACTCACTATTCTCGGCCTTTGGCAACTCTGACTGGCCTCTTTGTGTCTGCTGCCCACCTGCCATCTCTAATTGCGCTCACAGAGGTCTTGCTTCTCCTGATATTTATTTGAACAGTCTAGATCTTGGTATACAGGATAAATTTTAAAGTTTCCACCTGAACGAAACTTGGAAAAATTATAAGCCGTGAGCAGGACAGTGCGGAATTCCAAAACAAAACAACATGGACAAGTTGGCGGAGGGGGCAGACAGGAAATAGATGAGGTTCAATGCAGAGAAGTATAAAGTGATGCACTGTG